TTCTGACAACATGACCAAAATAGGTGAGACAAAGTCTGGCCATTCTTGCTTTCAAGGAGCATTTTAGGTGCACTTCTTCCAGGACAGATCTGTTAGTTCTTTTAGCAGTCCATGGTACTTTCAGTATTCTCCACCAGCACCACAACTCAAAAGCATCAACTCCTCTTCAGTCTTCCTTATTCATCGTCCAGCTCTCACATGCATACGAGGTGATTGGAAATAACATGGCTTGTAGAGATGGAGGAGGCCTCTGAAAATGAGACTTTTCCTTTCCTCTCTTGTCTCTCCTAGTGCCCACTCTCTACAGCCAGATGGAATTAATTGAAGTTCCTTCAATGTTCCTTGCATGGTCTTATCTTTAACCCTTTAGAGGTTTTCTCTGCCTGAAGCACCCTTCCTTTTTCAGATTTCAGCTCTGATGACACTTGTTTGGAAGCTCGGGTGGTGTAGTGCCTAAGGCATTTGACTGCTAACCAGAAGGCTGGAGGTTCAAACCCACCAGCCACTCCTCGGAAGGAAGATTGGGCAACCTACTTCCATAGTGATACCACCTGGAAACCCAAGGAGGGGTTGTTAAGAGTTGAATCAACTCGGTGGGAATGAGTTTGGTTTTGTTTGTTTGTTTTTTTTTTTTGTTAACACTTGTTTTGGGAAGGCTTTCCTTGATCCTCAAAGCTGAATTTGTTGTTGTTGTTGTTATGTGCTGTTGAGTCGGACTCAACTCATAGTGACCTCTCCTTGAGTTTCTGAGGCAGTATCACTACAGAAGTAGAATGCCTCATCTTCCTTCCAAGGAGTGTCTGGTGGGTTTGAACCGCCAGCCTTCTAGTTAGCAGTCAAGTGCCTTAGGCACTATGCTACCAGAATTTAGGGCTTCCAAACACCATGACTTCTTCTTACCATAGACAACAAGCAGATAACCACCATACACATAAATGCTACCTCCCCTAGTGATCTATAGTCTTTTCTTGATAGTGGTTCCCAGCACTGAGCACAGTGGTTGGTACATAAATTGTTGTTGTTGTTATGTGCCGTCGAGTTGGACCCGACTTAAAGCGACCCCTCCTTGGGTTTCTGAGGCAGTATCACTATGAAAGTAGATTGCCTCATTTTCCTTCCAAGGAGTGGCCGGTGGGTTTGAACCACCAGCCTTCTGGTTAGCAGTCAAGTGCCTTAGGCACTATGCTACCAGAGCTCCCACATGAATTGTGGTCAAGCAATATTTATTGAATACATGATTGACGGAGTAAATGAGTCAGTGAATGGAGTTTTGGAAGATGGTGACCTGCAAAAAGGAAATAATTTACTTAGGGTCTGCAGTTGAATGTGGAATGTAATCTATTTGGATTGCCCTCTTGTTTGGATTGCTTCCAAATATTATGGACAATGACAAATGTTTTGGGCTCCAGAACAGATTCCCCTCCCTGTGTGCCCCACTCCCACCACCACCACCAAAGGAGCTCTGCTCTTCTTTTTCCAGGACATCTCTCCTGGGATTTTCAGCTATGTCAGCTCTGAAGGTAGTGAACCCTGAGGGTAAGTGTGCTGGTTCATGGTGGGGATTCTACAAGTAGAGACATAGAGAGAAGTTCCCAGGATGAAGAGGCTAAACTGAGTGCTCTGGAGATGTTAGCAATTTCCCTAGGAGACTTTTTCTGGATCCTCAGAAGAAAATTCTGGGAAGAAAAAGAGTTCCAGGATTAAGGAAAATAGACACTACCTAGGGAAAAGTTGCCTCTGAGTTTAATTGGTGGAGGTGACTGTATGAGTTCCTCCTTGTATCTCTGTGGACTTTATAATTTTTATGGGGTATAAGAATCCCTGGGTGGTACAAATGGTTAATGCATTGCCTGCTGATCAAAAGGTTGGCAGTTAGATTCCACCCAGAGGTGCCTTGGGAGAAAGTTGTGGTGGTCTAGTTCTGAAAAGTCAACCACTGAAACTCCTGTGGAGCATAATTCTTCTATGATACACATAGGGTTGCCATGTATTAGAATTGACTTGATAGTCACTGATTTGGTTGGTGGTTGTAGTAGTTAAGGTTGCTGTCAACTTGACTGGGCCTGGTTGAGTGGCTGGGCAGCTGGAGGTAGTTATTCCCCATGATGAGACCAATAATCACCTCCATGGTGGAATAGGCCATGAACAGCTGAGTAGCTGCTTTAGGGATGTGGTATGCTTCCCGTCCATAAAGGAGAAGCTTTGGGATTGATCTCTAACCTTTTGGCGCACTTAAACCCTGCATGTAGCCAAACTATTGTTCAACAGCCTGCCATGCCCTGCTGATCTTGGGACTTCATCTGGACTTGAATTAGTGGCCTGCCATGTTGTTTGGTAACATTGGGACTGTACCTTTTTACTTGTCAACCTTAGGCTTGTCAGCCTCAGCAGCCAACAGCTGTCTGAGTGAAGTAAAGCCTCCAGCTTCTGTGGACTGGGAGCAGAGGCAGAGCTGAAGCCCAAGGTTGAAGGGCTTTCACCCAGCCCCTAGAACCTAGCACTTGGAACTCAGACTTAAAGCCTCCCAAATTGTAAGAGGATAAACTCCTGTTTGTTCAAGCCATTCTACTTGTGGTATATTCCTGTCAGAGTGGCACTAGGTAACCAGAACAGTGGTAAACTGGAGTCAGCAGATTTGAATGCTTGTCTGTCATTAACTACCTATGGGACAAATATGCTGGACTTCAGTTTCCTTTTCTGTAAATGAGGGAGAGAGTAGAACCAATTACTCTCTAAGGACCATTTCATGATTTTTAAAATAGATCTTGGATTTCCAATGCTACTGTCTCTCTCTCTCTCTTATTACAACCAGCTTAGAAATCGAACATGTCTGAAGTGTGAGACTGAGTTGTTAGCAAAATTTAGGAGTCGAGGCAGGTGAAGTAGGGTAAGGCTTTCCTAGGGATTCTTTTTCCAACATTTTCTTCCCCTACCCTCCTCCACCTTTTAGCCCTCTAAGGGGATAGGATGGTGTAGGGTGAGGCTTTCCTGGGGTTCTTTGTCCCATCTTTTTCTTCCCACTTTATTCCCCCTTCTTCTGGCCTTTGCTTCTCTGGTAGGAGCCAGTGTGCCAAAGAGGTTAATCACATTGACTTGGAAATCAGATAGATGTGCATTTGAATCTTATGTCTGCCACTTCCTGACTTTGTACCCTTGGGCAGATTTCTTAACTTCTCTCTGTTTCCTCATCTATACAATGGGGTTTGTCTTCTTAAAGTTCTCATAAATGTTGAACAACTTGATGTAAAAATCTAATACAGAACATTTGCTCTTATTCTTCCCCACAAACGTAAAAATACTGTTGCTGCCTATGTTTTTACCTTTAGAATTCAGATTTCAACATGGAACTCTATGGGCTTTCACCCCACTGTCCCAGGGTTTGTATTTATTTTGCATGGAAAAACCTAGGAATCATGTACTTTTACTTCTGAAGATATTTAATTATTTGCTTGTACCATAAATGTAGTGTGCTAGAATGGTACAAGATACAGGAACTAGAGAGCAAATGGAATTTTCCTACTGAGTTACAATGTAAACAATATTATAGACATAACATTTTTTATATGCTGGCATCCAAAGCATTCGGGAGTAACAGGTAACTAACTTACTGGCGGTATGCGTGTTCGGTATGCATGTTTTCTTATTTTATACTTACAGTTTAAAGGAAGAAAGACAGGGGCAAGGGCAGCCTTGGATTTCTTGTCAAGTTCTTGTGCACTTTAAAGTTTTAACAGCACTACAGCAGGTATCTGTCATGCCTATACCCAAACAACTCTTAAAAGTAATTTATTGAAATTCAGAATGACAACATTTTATAAACTGTTCATAAATTGTTTCTTAATTCTGCAATCTATAAGAAATAGCACTGCAGGTGAGAAGGTACAAGGTGAGAGAAAATTAAGTTCCTTCTAAATATATTTTGAATTATATTTACAAATTGTTTCTAATATAACTTTAGTCCAAGTTGTTGGAGAAGTGAAGTTTAGAATCTATAACAGGACTTTACAAAGACTGTCCATATGCTGGCTTTGGGCAGCCACTCTGCCTAGTGTCCTCAATTCTGAGGTCCTCTGACAGTCTGAGTGAGGCCCAATGATCCTTAGACAAGTAAATGGGCTAACATAGGGCAGGCAGTGAGCTTCTTGAGGGGAGGAGCTGTCTTATTCATTGCTGCTTATCAAGAACGTGAAGGTGATTGGCACTTAGTATACACTTACTTCTTAGTCTCAGGGATCTGAAAGTATTGAGTGTCTGTGTTAAGCAGGAAATGGAAATGTCCTGGGTAAAAAATGTCAAGAAAAAGCTTATGTATAGCATGTTCTGAACCATAAGTTCAACAGTGATACATTTAACATTCCCATCTTGAATTGCTCTGGAAGTCAAGACTCTCAGACTGCCTCATGAGAGTAAGTGAATGGAATCAAAGGACCTTCTTAGCTATAGCTGACATACAGGGGAAGCAAGGTTTGAAATAAACCCCAGGTCCCAGTGTGGGAAATCCCTGGCAACCATACATAGCCAATTAGACTCTACAGAGAGGTAGAAGATCTGGGCTTGCCATTCTTATTTCAGGAAACAGTGAAGGAGAAAGAAGCAACAAAGAGGGAAGGGACCCATACAAGTACAAGGTTAGTGTGAAAGTTAATTAGAAGTTTGAAGGAAGAGATACTGGCTGTTCTGCAAGATGGTTTACTGGCTGAGCTTTCAAGGACCTCTGGCAAGTTGAGAATTATGAGATCTGTTCCCTTTTTCTTCATTGTAATGAATCACGTCTCTGATGGCAATTTTATGTGTGTGTAGAGTCAGTTTTACCAGCTTCTTTCTGAATTATTGCTTATCACTCTCAGGCCCTTATCGCTTGAAGACTGCCAGAATGAAATCAGGTTTTAACTGGGGAGGTAGAACATTCTGTTTTGGAGGGAGAAGTTGGTTACATCTGTAACTTCTCCCAACTATGTACCGGAGGACACCCCATAGTCTATCTGAGCAGGGCCTGGCTCGTGGCCCAATGGCTTGGCAGCTAGAGGTGGGCACAAAGAGTAATCCTTTCTTTCCTCCTTTAGCAAGACAGGATCTTGAGGAAGGCCTTGCGGAACTCGACATTGAAGGTAGTATAGATCACAGGGTTGAGGGCGCTGTTCACGTAGCCCAGCCATGTTGTGGCACTGTAAAGCTCTGGGGACACATGGCATGCTTGGCAGTGGGTATTGAGAACGTGGGTCAGGAAGAAGGGCATCCAACAGACAATGAAGGTTCCTAGGTTGCAAATGAAGAGAGAAACTGAGTAAGGGGTTTGCTTCCTCCTTTTGTTACAACATGATTTATGATTGAATACATTATGCCATGCTCATTAAATTTTTACAACAATCCTATGAAGTGAGTGTGATTATCCCAATATTTTACAAAACTGCATGCTCATATCTTTGAATCATCTCAGGCCTTTGACTCAAACAGTTTTCTCATTTGATCTATAGGGACTTCATTACTAGTCTTTCCTACCTCTCAATTCAATTCACATATGTATTTGAGGTCCACCAATGCAAGACATGACACTAGGCAGTGATAGGGAAGAAGACCTTAAAGCTGCAATAGACCCAGTTCCTGCAGTTGCAGAGATTACAGCTGAGAGATCTAGTAAAGTCCCTAGTAAGTGAGAAATGGGGTTTGTCAGTGACACTGAGCAGAATGAATTGCTTTCACTAATGCTCTATGGTGCCTGAGAGAGACTTACCACTTGTTATTTCTTTCTTTAAAGTTTATCTTCTACTATAAAAATTAGTTGTGATTTTATACACTCTGGAAAACTTGGCAAATACAGAAGAGTGCAAAGAAGAAAAATCATCACCTACTACTCAAAGACAATCACTTTTGACATCTGGTGAATTTCTTTTCAGTCTCTTTTTCTCTGGATTTAAAATAATCTAGTTGTTATTATACCATATACCAGTAGTGTTTTGCATCTCTGTTTTTTTATTTAATGTCTTTTTAAAAGTAAGCTTTTATTAAATATCCAATATGTGCTCAACACTTTTATGAATCATTGTCTTATTTATTATTTGTTTTATCTATTAGGATGCCGTATAGTAGAGAAGAAAATACAGCTCCATTAGGTGACCTTTTTAGGCTCATAAATTTCAAGTTAGGTCTTTTGAATTTCCACCAGAGTTAACATTTATACAGAAACTCTTTTCAATCCAACATTTTATAAATATTACAGTCATTGGATTTCTAATTTTAACCAAAAGGGCTTACTCTAATATCTTCCACCAGCTCAACCCAACTCAACTAAACCTAACCTGACCCAAACTCACCAAGCACAATGGCTAGCATCTGGGTTGCCTTCTTCTCCCTGAGTGGCACTGCTCGAGGTTGCAAGGGCCCCAGCTTCAGGGATGTTGACAGCCTGCCGTTGCTGAGTTTTCGAACTTCTAAGCTGAGTTTGGGTGCCATGGTTGGGCTGAGAGAGTTCCGAGTCTTCTCCTCTCTTTTCAACTCTGCTTCCCCATCTTGGAAATCTGGCCGCCCCAAGGCAGTATCTTGGCAGATACTGTAATAGCGCTTTAGCTCCATGTGTGCCCGGCCAGGGGAAAGGGGCTGCAGGTGTGACAAGAGAGGGTCCTGACATTTCTGGGGAAATTTTTTATCATCTGAATGTTCCTGAAAGGGAAAGAGAATGTAAATAAGGAACAGGAAACCATCATTGTGTGAAACCTGTAAGAGGGAACATCTGACAGAGTGGTGGAATCATGGAAAGTTCTGATAAATGAAATCTGCTTCTGAGTTTATCATTTCCACATATAGTGTGTTTAAGAATAACAGCTCCTTGAGGAAGCTAGCATAGGACTGTGGGCTGGCCTTTTCAAGTTAGAGTCTGGGTCTACAGAGGAACACGTTATGTGACACCATAGCTCCTAATAGTAAATAATTACTAGTTAAAAAGTATGGTCCTTATTTGAATTTTGATTCTCATAAACCAACTGTAAAAACATTTATAAGGCAATGGAGATATTTGAACACTGACTGGGTATTTATGTTGTTAGCGTTGATTCTGACTTTTAGTGAGCCAATGTGACAGAGCAGAACTGCCCCATATTGTGTTCTAGGCTGTAATCTTTATGAGAGCAGATCAGCAGGTCTTTCTCCTGTAGAGCTGCTGGTTGGATTCAAACCACTGACCTTTTGGTTCACAGCTAAGTGCTTAACCATTGCATCACCAGGGCTCCTTTTAATGATATTAGATTATTGTTATTAAATTTTAGTATAATGTGGTATTGTGGTTATGCTTTTTTAAAAAGCCCTATCCTTTATATTTATGGGTAAAATTATATGATGTTTAGGATCTGCTTCCTAACAATCCAGTGGAGGAGTGTGAATGTTAGTGGGAGTGAAGTTGAAACAAGATTGCTGAGCAGTTGATTATTTCTGAAACTGGCTTTTGGTACTGGAGGGTTTGTTATATTTGTCTTTCCACTTTTTAATTTTTTTGAAAATTTTTATAATAAAAAGTTAACAACCCAAGAAACTCCAGGGTATTAATCTCATCTTTTCTATTTAGTAGATATAGCTTTGTGCCCCATTTGTAAAAATGGTCAATAATAACCCTCCTTCACTGATTATTGTGGAGATTAAATGAGGTAATATATTAAAAATGCTTAATGCAAGACCTAGCACAAAGTAGCCATTTAATTAATGTTATTAATAGACTATTATTTATTATTGTCATCTCAAATTTACATGTTAGAATCATGAAGTTCAGAGAGAGTAAGTGTCTTATAAAGGGTCATACAGAATGAGCAAGAACCCAGACTCAAATCTTACAAAGGACCAGATATTCACAACCCTATAATGTAATGTAGGGTAGTGTATGGAATAGAAGCTTTGTGAGCAGACATATCTGCATGAACTTGGACAAATTGCTTTACTTCTCTGAGTCTTGGGTTACTCATGTGAAAAAGATCAAAAGTTTTGGGCATGATGATAATGTTTTCTCTGTAATGGTTGCTGTGAGGATTAAATAAAAAGAGACATATAAACGATTTGATAGGCTCTCAATAAATGGGAGCTATTATTTTATTATTATCATCATTAAAGTGCAGAATTATTATTAAATTGTTGTTGTTACTGAGGCTAATGCCTACCATAAAATATTGTGATTGGCTTCAATTGAGAGAGCAAAGCTCAAGGTGACCATGAAGTTATCTTGGCTTTTCCTTCACACAGAATCTTTAAAGTCTCACATTAGCTTCCTTCTCTACTGTAATCAAAGATGTCCATGTTTGTTTCATTGACACCTGTTCTCTCTAATGTAGGTGGCTGTAGATTGCATCTTCACACCACATCCTGTAGGCTCCAGTCATTGGTAGCTAGCCCAGTAGTCATATGCTTTCTGAATTTCACTTGGTGTTTCCTATTTGAAGCTTAAATCATGCAGGATCTCAGATTTGACATATATTTTAGTACAAGTGTCAGATTGGACCTAGATTCCATTTTGGGGTGAGCAGAATCAAAAGACAAGCCAGCATATTGGGAAAAGTTCTCTTATTCTTTCCCTACACCCAAAGACATAGCCTACTTACCATTTTCCCCATGGCATCTGATGGAAATCTGGCCCTTATTGAAAACTGCCGAATGGTTTGCAGCCGCAGACAGGTAGACTAGGGTGGGTTGAAGGAAAAATGGTCAGTTGTGGCTTAAGCACTACATAGCTGAGCTATTTAGATAGCAAGTCTTTGAATGCATTATTGTTCATGTCCTCAGTGGTGGGTCTTGATCTCCTATTTTATGGATAATATTGCTCTAGTCAAGTCTTGTGGACTACAACTTTTAGAGTCTGGCCCTCCCTCAGGTCATCAAAGGTTGCTCTAGACACCCAACTGGACCTGTCTTCAAGATCAAATTCAGATCTTACTCTACTATGAAGTCCAGTCCTTGACCATATTGATCTCTCTCTTCTTATAACCTATACAACATTTAATAGTTGGGTTCTTAATTGTCTTCACCTCACATCTGACAAACATTCCATTCAGTTTTGAGCTGTTGATTAACTTTGAGTGGAGGTGTGCTTTATTTACTTGTCTATATTTTAAGCCCCATGAAGGCAGAAGCTGTATAATATTCCCACTGTCTCTGAAGGTGGTAAGTGATTGGTATGCATCCCTTCATGCTTCAAGCAGATTGTGAGTAAACATACCATATGTGCCAGGCACTAGGCTAAGCAGATTTACACCTCAAGCATTTGGAAACCAATGCTGGAGCAATGACTTTCATTCTCAGAGTCTAGAAAGACTCAATAAAATGCATCATTAGGATCCCATCCCACCAACTGGTCAGTGCCTTGACACAGGGGCAGGTTAGTAAGGAAAAGAGGTTTCCATGGATCCCAATGATTCTTGGGAGAGCAGCCTGGACAAAAAGTCAGTCCTGGGAACCAATCAGCAGTGCATGGTACAACTATTACATGAAAACCTCAAGCCCTTGGGAGATCTGAACTACTGGTCATTTAGGGAGAATGAAGGACCTTGAAGGGAAGCAAAACTGGCCTATCACTTTCCAAGTAAAGTGGGCTTTAGGGAAGACTGTTAGTGGTCTCTTGAGATTGGATTTCCTACCTCTAAAGGACAGCCAATACTGGTAATTTAGAGGGTAGGTTTCATTGTGTTTTCAATGAGCAATGTACAGGCACAAGTATGCCCTGCTAGAGGCTGCAGGGATGGGTGTCATACTCCCTCTGCCCCATCCCAGGTGTTTACTTGTTGGGAGAAGCTGGGCCTGACACTGATGCATTGGCTGTTCTGTCGAGTGAGGATCCGTTTTCGTCTCCTCTGTCTTAATACCACATAGATCCTAGCATAGACGAGGACAGTCACTCCAAAGGGCAAGTAGAAAGATACCACTGAAGAGTAGATGACAAAATCAGGGTTAGAGATGGAGCAGACACTGGGGTCCCCTGCGGAGAAAAAAAAGAGAGATGATAAGGCCATTTGTGGGCCCTGGGGAATTATTAGACCTTGATGGGAAACACAAACTATGGTTCCATATGTTGTGTACTGTCTCCACCTTCTTATCCATATGAGGCTTTGAGTAGCAAGGGTTGCTCATCCTTCCTACACCCTCATGTCCCAGTGCAAATGCTGCCTCATCCATGGAGATGTCCTTGAGTTTCTCTCTCAGAAGCAACTCATTCTTCCTTTGAGCTCTTTACTTTTGCCTCTTTTGTAAAGTTAGCAGACATGGCCTTTGTGGTGAGGATGGAGTGAAGCAGACTCAGACACCTACCCAGTCAGTTCGTTAAGAGTTGTTGTTGTTGTTGTTATGTGCCATCGAGTTGCCTCCAACTCATAGAGACCCCTCCTTGGGTTTCCGAGGGAGTATCTCTATGTAAGTAGATTGCCCAATCTTCCTTTTGAGGAGTGGCTGGTGGGTTTGAACCACCAACCTTCTGGTTAGCAGTCAAGGGCCTTAGGTACTGTGCCACCAGAGCTCCCTCCTTGAGGGTAGGAGGTCTAATTAATCTTTGTATGATTGTGCTGTTTTACACATGTTATCTTATCTAATCAGTGTGACAATATTATTGAGGCAGGTGCCATTTCTATCTCTATTTTCAGATGAGCAGACTAAGGCTCAGAGAAGTTCAGTAAGTGGCCCAAGGTCACCCAACCTGAAAATGGCAAAAGCAAGATGGTTCCTCCAGCCAATCTGACACCAAGTCAATGTTCTTTCTGTGATTTTTGACTCTCTACCTCCTTCTACCATTGGGACATGGTGTATTTGCACTTTTTCTAGCACTGTTAGCATCAGCTGTTGGTGCACTGGACAATCTCCAATCCAAACTCTGGTGTTGGAAGCTATAGCATCAAGTGTGAGCTGGTAAGGGAGAGTAGCAGCTATGTAGGCTTCTTTATCTTCTGATGTATAGTAGAGGTTACACAGCCCTAGATGTGTATAGTGAGTTGAATGATGACCCCCCAAGAGATATGTCTAACTGGAACCCATGACTATGACCTCATTTGGAAAAAAGGTCTTAATTAAGTTAAGGATCTCAAAATTAGATCAGCCTGGATTTAGGATGGGCCCTAAATACAATGACAGTATCATTATAGAGAAAGACAGCAGGGGATATATGGCACAGACTCAGAAAATAAAGATGTAAAGACAGGCAGATATAAGAGTTATACAACCCCAAGCCAAGGAATACTGGAACCACCAGAAGCTAGAAGAGGCATGGAAGGATTCTCCCCTAAAGGCATTAGAGGAAGTATGGCCTGCCAACTTCTTAATTTCTAACTTCTGGCCTCCAAAACTGTGAAAGAATAAATTTCTGTTGTTTTGAGTTACCATGTTTGTGGTAATTTGTTACAGCAGCCCCAAGAAACTAATATAAACCCGAAAGAGCAAACCTACTGGAGTTGCAGTAAGATGGCGGACTAGGCAGAAAGACTGCACAGACCCTCTTCAACAAAGAAAAGGGAAACCAATTAACACAAACACAGAAGATAATCCTGGACCCCTGAGCCTTGAAGGGAAGGATATAGAAGTGGACTAAACCACAACTAGCAGAATAATTTGCATGAAAATACCAAAAAAAGGAGACAGACGGAGCTGCGGTCTGGCAGTGAACCTGAGCAATACTGACAGCCTGGCACACACAGTGGTAAGACCTAAGAATTAACCCAAAACTCAGCCCTGCTAGCCAGGGACTGCATGGAGGACTGCTCTGGTGGCTGGGGAATAAACAGAGAAGGTGAAGAGAAATGCGAGCTGAGCTGTGGACTTTTGCCGGTCTGGAGGATGCCATCATTTTGAAGGTTTACGAGCGGCTTGACTATTTTGGATATTTAAAGAGACAGTGCTCTGGCAGATTCCAGGGGCTTAAGAACACATTCTGCTTGCCAGCAACCCCAAGGACACTTGGGACCTGCAAGACTGACAAGGTGCAACATTCCTCTTGTTACTCTTATACCCTACACCCGCTTGGTGAATGGAGGTGTGGCCATCCCCCACTCCCACCTACCTTCTGGGCCCACAGGAACTCCATCACAGTCTGTGTGCTCAGACGGAGCCTGGGTGCCCTGCCATGTCCTCCACCGATTTTTTTTTCTCTTTATTTATTTATTTTTTTCCTTTCTTTTTTCTAGTGATTAGTATGCTTACATTTGTCTGTTTTAAAACAACTATTATTATTAATACTTTTGTCCTTTTTACTCTTCTTCTTATTCTTCCCCTTCCAGGTCCTAGTTTTCAGCTTTTTTTCTTTTCCCTGTTCCTGGTTGAAAAAAAAAAATTTTTTTTAATTAATTAATTTTTTTTCTTTCCCCTTTTATCTGGTGGTTAATCCCACTCCTTGTTTTTCTTTTTTGCATTTTTTCAATTTTTTTCTTCTTTTTCTCCTTCTCTACCTTTTTTCTCTTAGTGCCCTATCCCCAGATATTGCAGGTTTTCTTGTTTTTTCTCTTCTTTTTCCCTTTTTTCATTTCTGGTTACTGTTCCTGTGTGATTATATGGTGTGTTTTTTGTCCATGTGCTTTTAGTTTTTCTTTTATCATCATTCAATTGTAATTTTTGGCTAACTGAGTGGGAGACAGTAACAGTCCTCATAAGACACAACTACACCCACACCTCTTGCAACTTACTGAGCGAGAGAGCCAATACCTCCTTTTCCACCTATGGACCAATGATAAAAAACCACCAAGAAGAGCCTGAATCACCCTTGGCTGCTCTTCACAAACAGTCAACAGATATCTAAATACAACAACACCACAATGCCTTGGAGACAACAGACCATCACAGTCCACACAAAGAAGCAAGATAAAGTGGTAGAAACAAGGGAGCAGGATACAGACCCAGAACACATCC